TAAATACACTGAGTAGACTGAATCCAGGCTACTTTCCATACAGATTGTTTTACATTTTTAGTTGGAATGTGAATAATAACTTAAAATATACTTTCATTGCTTTTGAAAAGTGAATTACTCTTTACTTGGTTCTCTTCTACAAGTTTGGGGTTGAAATAATCTAACATTAGTAACATTTTATTGTAATGCAGATTTGTAGCATCTTTTTATTGCCTCAGCTTATAATTATGTTGGAAGCTGGCAGACAGATCTAGGTCAGTCCTGAAGTGTAAATTTTGCCATTGGAATATATGCTGAATGTATGAATTTGGCAGATTTAAGATAAAGTATGTTTAAAGAGCAATAAAAAAGACAAGTGTCTTTTTTTGTAGATTTCCTTTTTTAGAGGAATTTTAGGTTCATCACAAAATTGAGTGGAAAATACAGAGTACACATGTACCCCAGTCCCCACGCATCAACAGCCTCCCTGCTCCAGACCAAAGTGGTACAGTTGTTACAATCTTCATTGACACCTCATTATTACTCAAAGCCCACGGATTACATTAGGCTTCACTTAACGGGGTTGCATATTCTGTGCGTTTTGACAAATGTGTAATACCATATGTCTACCTTAAGAGAGAATAGTTTAACTGCCCTAAAAATCCTCGTGCTCCACCTGGTCATGTGTCCTTCCCCCTCAACCAGTGGCAACTACTGATCTTTTTTTACTAAGACAAATGTCTTTTTGTAGGCCTTGTGACAAATAGGTTAAGTATACTTAGCGTTAAGGCATGGGGAAATATTTGAGGAACAGTTGATCTTATCTAGGTACGTATCTTTCAGCTTTGACCTTGGAAGATCCATTTGGGAGTTGGAGTGGGGGAAGAACTGACTTGGAACAGTGAATCAGGAAAATTTATTGGAGGTCTGAAGTCACCTTCAGTCATTTTTTGACACTGAGAAATGGAAATAGAATTAAAATCACTATTCTCTGCAAGCATTTAACTTCAGTTTAAAATCTCAGAGTAATGCTAAATTTAAAAAGATTTCCAATCTAGGTAATCACTGTATGTTAATGTTTACAAGTAGTCTAATGAAATGTACATTATAATTATTCATTTGCTTATATCAGTATTTGATGAATGAAGTACTTTATCTGTAGTTACTACAAATTTGGTAGAGCAATCATGATGGGGGAGTAAACTTAGTGAACCATGTCATTGTGCTCCATTATACCTTTGAAACATGTTTGCTGCACTTTAGAAGTCTGTAGACTAGAAATGGTGACTATGTAGACATCTGCTGCCTATATATCTGAGGTACCTATCTTTATCCATGCTAATCAAAGAAAACTGGCTAAGTGATAACTGTAGTCAACTAATCTAGGTGAAATTTCAAGCTAATAAAAATTTCCTGCCAAGTGGTTTGTTTTATTTATTTATTTATTTATTATTATTTTTAAGATTTTATTTATTCATTTGGCAGAGACACAGCGAGAGAGGGAACGCAAGCAGGGGGAGAGGGAGAAGCAGGCTTCCCGTGGAGCAGAGTCCGATGTGGGGCTCGATCCCAGGACTCTGGGATCATGACCTGAGCTGAAGGCAGATGCTTAACGACCAAGCCACCCAAGCGCCCCTATTATTATTATTTTTTTAAAGATTTTATTGATTTGAGAGAGAGAGAGGGAGGGAGCACAAGCAGGGGGAGTGGCAGGCAGAGGGAGAAGCAGACTGCCAGCTGAGCAGGAAGCCCGCCTGGGATCATGACCTGAGCCAAAGGCAGACACTTAACCAACTGAGCCACCCCGGCGCCCCCTGTCTGTTTTATTTTTCAGAAACTAATGCTTTCTTTACAGTAGGAACAAGACTATTTGTTGATTTTAACAAAATCAGCAATCCAGGTTTGGTCATTGTGATATTTTAGCATACTTTATTCATTTTGGATTCTTTTTAATTAGTGTATTACTTGGTAGAACCTCATACTTTAAAAATATATATATATATATATATATACAACTCTTGAGTTGCTGGAAGTATTTTCCCAAACTAATTATGTGATTGTCAAATTTGCTCATAAAATACATAGGGGCAGGTATAAAACTCCTGAGTAAAATGTGTAAATTTTATCCAATCAAGAAATATTTATTAAGCACCTGCTAGGTGCCAAGCACTGTTCTGGGTGCTGGGAGACAAGAGTGGTCAACAGGGTGATTGCGGTCCTTATTTTATTTTATTTTAAAGATTTTATTTATTTGTCAGAGAGAGACAGGGAGCACACAAGCAGGGGGAGTGGCAGGCAGAGGGAGAAGCAGGCTCCCTGCAGAGCGGGGAGACCGATGTGGGACTCAATTCCAGGACCCTGAGATCATGACCTGGGTGGAAGGCAGTGGGATCCTTATTTTTGTGGTACATATATTCTATGGAGGGAGAGATACAAGGTAGACATGTAAACAAATAAAGCATTATTTTAGATACTGAAAAGGACTGTGGGGAAAAAAACCTGTTTTGTTCAAGTGATGTGGGGGGTCTGTAATTTAGACTGAGTGGTCAAGGAAGGCCACACTTAAGAGAATATTTCAGCTGAGATCTAGATGATGGAGAATTAAGCCACCTGAATTTCTAGGGACAGAGCATTCCAGACAGGGGAAAACAGGACAAAGATTCTAAGGTGGGAAACAGGTTTGGCCTGCTCAAGGAAACAGCTAGAGGACTAGACTGTAGGAGCCAGAACACACAGGACTGTGGAGGTCATGGTAAAGAACTTAGAGTTTGTTTTGTTTTTTCTCTCTGTTTGCTAATTGAGGGTTTTATTTTATTTTATTTTTTTTTAAAGATTTTATTTATTTATTTGACAGAGAGAGAGAGAGTGAGAGCAGGAACACAAGCAGGGGGAGTGGGAGAGGGAGAAGCAGGCTTCCTGCCAATCAGGGAGCCCGATGTGGAACTCGATCCCAGGACCCTGGGATCATGACCCGAGCCGGAGGCAGATGCTTAACGACTGAGCCACCCAGGCGCCCCTAATTGAGGGTTTTAAACAGAGGATTGATAGTCTAGAGGGGGAGACATATAATAAATAAGTACTTACATAAATATTCAAATGATGGGTGGATTCAGATTGGGGGAGTGTAGGAGGACTAAACTTGGTTAGGAGCCTCAGCAAAGATATTCCTGAGGAAATGATGTTTAAATTGAGACCTAAGGAATAAGCATGAATTGATTAGGGCAATGACATGGAAAAGAATATTCCAGACAAAGGAATATCATGAATGAAATATGAGTCTAGAAAGAGCTTTAATAACATAAGGATCTGAAAAAAGGCTAGCTTGTCTGTTTGTAGTTTACCCAGGTGAGAGTAGCACCAAATGAGGCAGGAGAGATTTGGCAATGAGCACAGGATTTTATAAGACATGTGTAGGATTTTAGTTGTTAATCCTCCATAACAGTGATTTTAAGGAGAGTAATTTAATCACACTCATATTTACCTATATTATTTAGTTGCTACTTTGTGGAATTTAGATTGGATTAGAGGAGGGGGCAAAAAGGGAGACCAGTTAGGTACCACTCTGTATTTGTGTACCATTGAAACTGGAAGTGATAATATCCTCTTTAATTAAATATTGATTGCTTTTACTTTCAAAGATTCTCCTTTGAAATTGCTTGCTCTTTATATTGTCATTGTTTGCAGCACATTTTGAAATAGTGTTGCTGTTTTTGCTGTGTACAGTTAAAGGTGCCTTGTGATGTGGAAGTAAAGGCTCTTAGCTTTTGCAAATCAAATAAGCTAGATATTTCTTTATGTAAGGAGAAAAAAAGTCCATTAATGTAGATAGATAATCTTTAAGAATAGTGGTTAGTTGGATAAGGTATTCTTGCAGTGTTGGCTAACAATGGGCCACTCCTCAGTAGACTGTCTCCTGGGAGAGAAGGGACACGATGGATATGGTATGTCTCCATAGATTGGGAAGGGGCATTTAGTAGACAGGTTCAAGGGGAGAGTCTTTTAAAAATGTTGATGTGGGAAAGGATAATAAATAAGGTCCCCAGGAGTAAGTTGTTACTACATGGAATCAGGCAGTTGATAGGGAAGAAAGCCAGACAAGGGATATAGACTCTGAAACTAGCTTTTAGGTGTTTTTGTTTGTTTTGTTTTTAAAAGAACAGAAGCCTACACTTTAGAAACTTGTCTCTGCTGTTTCATGTTTTATAGTTATTCATTACTATTGAGTAAAGTTCTTGGGCAAAGGTTACCTTCATTTAGTGTGTTGGGTAAACAAAGGAAGAGTTTATATAGCTGTTTTGGGGGAGTCATGTGATTTTTGAAGTGGTGGCTGTGGTCTTTGAAAAAGAGCCCGGAGGCCAGTGTAACTATAGGATATAACTCTGCACCTTACTGACTCCTCTTGTGTTTTCCACTAAAATATTAATCCTGTTCTTTGCTTTAATAAGGGAAGTGTACTATTAGGTTACTTTTACTAAATTAGGGGCTCGTTAGCTTTACCATAAGTGCCAGTTTTAGAAACTTCTTAGGACCTTAGCTTAGCCATTTAAGTTTCACAGTGAACAATGTTTACAATTCCTGTTTTAACCTTTGTAACTTAGAGTAATTTCCAGGTGATGCCCACAGGGAAAAATTGGATTCTGAGTTATTGGACAAAATTGACCCCCCCAACCCGCTTTTGCACAGATCCAGTTTCTGTGTGCATATAGTAGCAGAAGTTGTTTATAGAATAAGGCAGTGCTCAAGAAACAGCTACTGTTCACATGTAGCTGTTAAGACTTAATAGTAGAGGCTGTACTCGTATTGCTGCTTATCTGTATATATAGTGGGAAATCTTAGCAATATTCTTGGTCCAATTACAGTGGGAGTGAGAAATCCAATATGTGCTTGAACATCACTTTTTGTAACTATTTTCAGATGATCTGGAATAAGGGGGAAGTCACTTGAAGTTTTATTTGTGATCCTTTAGGAGAAGTTTGTAATGCAGGAATTCAAGTAACCTCTTTCTCTTGTTTTAATTCTAGGTGAGAATTATGAAGATGATGACCTAGTAAACTCTGATGAGGTTATGAAGAAACCATGTCCAGTACAGATTGTTCTTGCTCATGAAGATGACCATAACTTTGAGCTCGATGAAGAAGCTTTGGAGCAGATATTGCTACAGGAGCACATACGAGATCTTAACATAGTAGTGGTATCCGTGGCAGGAGCTTTTCGTAAAGGGAAATCATTTCTACTGGACTTCATGCTTAGATATATGTATAACAAGGTGAATAGTGTCTTTTAAATTGAACCCAGTTAAAAACAACCAACCAACCAACCTTGTTTAAAAATAATAGACAAAAAACAGTGAGAGCTGTGTCTTTAATTTTACAAAAATGCAGTTCTTGCTAAGACTTCTCAGTTAAGACATTAATCTAAGTTTGTTTGAGTTCTTGATTCTTCCTCCTCTCCATAATTGCTTTTTGCATATAGTACATAATGATGCATATGACTGAGCATCTATGTTAGAGGCATTGTAGCTCTAACCCGCGATGTCTTAAGTATACTCTAAAGTCTCTGATGTACTGTTCATTTCTCCCGTTATTTCTTCACACCTCCCCCTTCTTGATCAAGCCTTTCCAACAATGCATGAAGTAGGCTGATAGAGACTTTTGTAAAAGTGCACCTATGGTCTTCAGATAAGTCAGCTTCAGTCTCTATTGCATTTTGAAATAAAGTCCAGTTCCTTAGAGTGGCTTCCAAGGCCTTCAGTTGATGTCTGAGCTTCATATCTTGCTTCTCTGTGTCAGGTGTACTATAGTTTTTGCAGTTCCTCAAGTGTTTCATGTTATTTCTCATATGTTGCTGTATCCTTGGCTAATCTTTGCATAGCAGGCCTTCCCTGATTTTTTTTTTTTTTTTTTTAAGTAGGCTCTATGCCCAATATTGGGGCTTGAACTCACAACCCTGAGATCAAGAGTCACATGCTCTATGACTGAGCCAGCCAGGTGCCCTGAGGCCTTCTCTGATTTTTAAGACTATGTTATATCCAACTCTCATGGCACAAATAATTTGTTTCATTGATACTGCTTTAGTTATTGTTCCTGGCCAGTTTAATCTCTGCCAGGAGTGGGTCTTATTACCATATCTCTCTCAATGAACACATTAATTGGCCCATAGTAAGCACTTACTTTCTGTTTTGACCAATGAATCTCCCTTTCTCCACAGATTTTCACTTTTTAATGGTGCCAAACAATTGTTATTTCCCTCTTCCTCCCTGATTTTGGCTTTCTCCCCTGAAAAAAAGCAAAAAATAATTTCACTTGAATCAGAATGTTTTTCTAACAGTTGAAAGTTGCGTTGAGGGAGTGAGAATTTGATAGGGACGCAGAAGGAGGAATTGGAAATTTGGAGCGGAGCACTTAGGAGGAAGAACTTTCTTTACAGGGGGCGTTTGACATTCAGAAACTACATGAAGATGCTAGAAATAACACTTTGACAGAATTATGTAATTGCCTAAACACATGTCAGGGTGCTCACCTTTACGAGTTCTGTATCAGTCTGTGACTGGGTGTGCATCTGCCTTAAGGTAAGTAACAAGGTAAACATTCCTAGTTGATTTTCCGTGAAGCTTTTCAGTAAATTCTTTTCATAGGGATCTCGTCAGGCATGGTCAGGTATGCCTCAGTATCAAGAATGTAGTTCATATTAAACAACACTATTTTGCATGTTTAGCAAATTGAGAAAGATACAGTATTTCATCCATTTAGACTTGATTATTTCTCGCTTTTACATCTGAAATAGAGAAATGAATAAATAGTGACATATTCTTTTTAAAAAAGAATGTACATTCAAATATGATAATTGAGGTTCTAACCCTAAGTTAAAGTTAGCTTATGTATATTGTATATATGTGTGTCTGAGCTGTTCAGTGCATGTGGGTCACAGACAGAATGTTCAAAGGGAAAGGAAGTGTAGATCACTTGCCTAGCAATAACAGATAAATTTCACCTCAGGTGCCATTTCTGAATCCATCTCTGATCAGTTAGTAGTGGTTGTTCAGAGGGGGAGTAGCAGCCCACGCATGTGTCATGTATTTGCAGTCTCTGAAGTAATACAATTTCCTTTTTCCTGGGGGAGACACTGAAGCCACCAGAAGGTTATGAGGGCCTGAGTGAGGTTATATACCTAGTTAATGGCCTCTGAGCTGAAATATCATTACTAATACAGAATTTCTGGTATAAGTAATCTTACTCTGTTAATTAAAAAATGACATTAAACGTCTGATTTTTGGGATAGCATGCCTCTACTTACACTGATTTAGTGGCGGGTCATGCTTTTCCTAGGACAATGAAAGTAAACAAGAAGAAGTCACAATGGGGTAGTTTTGAATTTATTTCATTAACCATATCTGTCTGCAAATGTGGAATGCTAGCTGAAGAAGGTACGAGATGAGTAGTGGCTTATACTGACTTTGTATGTCCTCTTTATTGACCTGAGTCAATTTATGTAAGGGTGCAGTTCACTAAAGGAGCTAAATATAAATATTTTACTTCATGATTTAGAAATAGATGACTGTTTTCATTTTGAGTAGTTAGTAAAGTAATAATACAAGGTTAAATATGAGCTCGTTTCTGTTGGACAAAAATGAAAACTTCAGTATTTAAAACTAAGAATATTCTGAGGTATTTACCAAACATTTCCAAATTATAGGGGAAATTCTGATTTTTAGGTCTCATATTCTTGTGAAGTGAATAGCTTCTTACACAGGTGTTGTTTTGTTTTTTTTGAGCGGCCACTTGTATTTTGAAAATAGGTTTTCAAAGTATAAGAGGAAAGAAGTTAGTTTTCTTTTGTAAACTTAAGAGGTGAACTAAACATTTTTCTAGAATAAAATTCCCTCGTGTGTTGTAATTGATCATTTACTATAGTTTATATGAGAAGGGTCACTAAAATTGCTAATTCTTGAATTCATCATGTAGGAAACATTTTGAACATACAAGCATATCACTTATGACATTCACTATGAATGCCATATATGAGGAATACCACAGAAATTCAAGTATTGTTGGTGAACTTAATAATTTGTAAGTAGAATATTTATTACTTGTAAAAGTCATTCTCAAAAAGCTATAAATGAAATAATCATAAAAATTTATGTGAGAACTGTTAGGTCTGTTATGTCAGTATTTAAAAAAAAAAATCATTATTTCATTTGTAAAAGTAGGGAGTTATACAAGGAGATGAAAATCTGTAATGAGAGACAGAGTAGGTAAAATGGTGGGAGAGAGGATGACTTTTCCCTGCAGAATATATGTGTATACTCAAGTATTTTATACTTTTCCCTTTCTAATGCTGATTTGGTTGTTGAGGGTATAGTTCTGATAAATATATTTTTTCTTTTTTTGACTTTTTTTTCCCTGAAGTATAATTTATATACAGGAAAGTACCCAAATCTTAAGTGTATAGCTTGCTGAAATTTTACATGTACACACACACACACACACACACACCCCCATATTACCACTACCCAGATGAAGATATAGAACCTCACCCCCCACCATGTTATATCCCTTCCAGTTAATATATACCCCCCAGTTAATATCCACCCCCAGTTAATATCTACCCCAAAGGTAACTGCTATACTGAATTCTTGTACCACAGACTGGTTTTCCAATTTCTGAACTTCACATGAATGAAAACATGCCATGAGAGTTTGTGTTTGGTTTATTTCTTTAAAGTATCTATGAAATGTGCCCATGTTTTTGCATGTAGTGATCATTATTTTTGTTACTTTGGTATCTGCTACATGATTATACCATATTTTATTTATTCATTAACTGTCAGGGGATATTTGCTTTGATCTTACAAGTTTTAGTAAGCTGATTTTTGTGAATCCCATGCTTCCAAAGTAGATTACTCCTATGATAATAGGAATTATTACAAAAATGCTGTTCAAAAATTATCATGTAAAAGTAATTTCAGTTTCAGGAATCGGTTTAGGAAGGTCAAAACTTAATTTAGAATTAAATTATGTAAAACTTAATACTTGGGACATATTGAACACTAAGCAATGGTGAGAGCTGTTACTTAACTCTTCTAGATAGAATCTTAATTCTGTATGGAGTTGGTTGCAGTTAAAAAACTTCATTATGAAGAATTTTTAACACATGTAAAAGTGGATAATAGTATAATGCATCCTCATGTATTTACAGTTATCAACTCAATCTCATTTCATCTATACCCCAACTTATTCCATACCTTATGTGTTGTTTTGAAGTATATCCAGATACATGATTTCATTTGTCAATATTTCAGTATATATCTCTTTAAAGATAAAGGGTCTTTTGGACATTACAGTAATATCATACATAAATAATTCCTTAAGTAATATAAGGGATCAACTTTCCAGTTGACTCAGATATTTACATTTTTAAATTTTTAACTGTTTGAGTCAAGATCGAACCAAATCAGTTCCACATTGTGATTGGTGGCCTTTAAAGTGTTTAAACTCTTTTTAGGCTTCCCTCCATCTCTTTTTCTTGGCCATTTATTTGTTGAAGAAACTGGTTGTTGGTCTTAACAGAGTTTCCTCAGTCCGGATCTGCTGATTTTTATTCCATTTGTATAGTTTTACATGTTCCTTTGTCCTATGAATGTTAGTTAAAGCTAAGGACTTGATCAGACTCAGGTTTGACTTTTTGGCAAAAGCATCTCATAGATGATGTATTCTTCCATGAGGAAGTATAGATTATCTTTTAAGATAACAGTTTTTGAATCTTTACTGAATTCTAGGTATGCTGATTACTGAGTACTATCTCACTCAGTATTCACATTAACCCTATGCAGTCTTATTAGTATTTCAGCTTGATAGTTGAGGAAATGAGGCTCAAAGGACATGGCAAGGGTGAGATCCAGACCAGGGAATTTGATTCCAAAGTCTTTATTCTTAAAACCACTATATAAAATGATGTTTGGTCCTTTTCCATACGTACAGTGAACTATTCTTTTGTAAACGGTCTCTTTTCCATGTTTACTTCAGTAGTTGAGGTAGACAGACAGGAGTGCATGCCTGCTAACTTTTTTGCTGCCCACTGGTATCTATGCTTAATGAGTAAAGAGTTTTGACTCCATTTATAACATAATTGCTAAAGGCATTTTAAGGGAAACTATATGTAGTTTTTATTTTTATTTTTATTTTTTTTTAAAGGTTTTATTTATTTATTTGAGAGAGAGA